GGGAGCCTTGGCCTATGACGGGTCCTATCCCAGGCAAGCAGTTTGAAACTTGATAGGTAGCAGGACCAGGTGGCTGGCTGCAGGGATGGGGGACAGTGCCACAGGTGTTGGGAGATGTCCTGTGGCGAGGTGTGATGTAGGACCAGGTGCAATGCTGATACGTGGCCAGGAAGACTGCAGGGGTCGGGAGGGCCCATGGCAGACAGGAGTCTTGTACACTAGGGACCACTGTTTGCACTTGCCTAGATCCTGAGAGTAGGGCAGGGAGGACAGGGCAGGAATGAGCGGCCACCCTGCCCTGCCCCTAGGAAGCATCTAGATTAGAACTGACAGGTGGGTGAGCCACCCAGGGCATGGCATGAATGGGGGCAGGGCCTAAGCTACAAGGAACTAGGAACCCCATTATCAGAACTGAACACAAGTTGGGATTTGTGGTCACCTAGAGATGACAGTCCTGGGAGCTGGAAGCCAGAGGCCCCATGATCACAGGGAACCTGTAGATGGAATTGAAGAGGCCCCAGCATATTGGGGAGGGAGACAGCAGGTCACTCTAAGAACAATCAGGAAAAAACTGAATGGCAGGGGAGAGGGGAAGGCAGGGAACTGGCGGGAGGAAGTGGCCTAGAGAGCAGCTCCACTGACAAAGAGGCTCCAAACGGCACTAATGGTTGTTGTCAGGGCACTAGAGACGAGCGGCCTGAGCCTGCTCCCAGGAGATGTGGGCTCGGGAGTCAGGAGAGAGATGGTGGGTCCACTGGCCCTCTGTCACCCCTCACAGTCTACACAATGCCTGGGGCTATTTGTTTATGGGTATTGATCCCCATCCAAGAGCAAACGAAAACACCAAGCCTCATTGAAGGGCCACCATGTACAGCTGAGCAAGTTGTGGACCCCAAGAATAAAAAGTATCATTCACATTGTGGTGACCATCAGTGCGCATATTTGTCATGACAATTTTTCAGTAGATGTTGGTCAAGGGTCCTGGGGAAGGGGTGCCTTTTGCTAATTTGCACAAAGGCTCAGTATGGGTAAGTGGAGGTGACTCAGAGGTGGAGCAATGTACCCAGAGTCACCAAATCAAGGAGGAGTGGAGGCAAGACTGAACCCAGATGTCCTAACAGAAGGCCATCCTCCACAGGCCCCTCAGGAGCCAGCTCTGCCCATCTCTCTCCAAAACCTACCCTCGCCCTCTGGGACCAGTATGGCCACCCCGGCACAGCTCGGCTTACAGGGGTTCTTCTCTCTCTCTCCAGGGTCCACGCCTAGGCCAAGCCCCTTTCTCCTTTGAGAAACTCTCCCACTGCTCCAGCCCCTGAAGATCTCCTTTCCCTGACCACTTCTGCACAGACTCTTGGTATCCACTAATTTGACCCTTGCCCACATTCTGAATTGTGGAGGCGGAAAAAGCCCAAGCTTGAGAGACAGACAGACCTGGTTCTGCCATTTGGGCAAGCTATTCGGCATCTCTGAGCCTCAGTTTTCTCAGCTATAAAATAGAAGTAAAAACCCCTATCTCAAAGGGTTGGTTTTATATGAGGTGACAAAAAGTCAAGTGGCACACAGTAGCAACATAATAAGGAACAGTTCACTGGGCTGTGGATTCCTTCAGGGCACAAGGTGGTGTTCAGATATGGTGTGAGGAACAGAAGGTGTGAATGTGACTCATACAGGGAGGCTTCAGGGCCTCCAGTGGACAAGGCCATCATCCAATCCCAGACTTAACCTCAGGCCGAGCCTGGAGGCCTCAGAGAACCAAGAGAAGCAGCTCCTGGGACTCCCC